ACGATTCTCATGTAAGCCTGCATCCCATTGGCATTGCTAAATTTTGATATTGTAACGTCTTAATAATTCATCTCATTCATTATTCATTTACAGTATTCATTAAATCACCACTTAAGCAGTTGAAAATAATATTTTCGCCTCAAACGCAAATGACGCCTTAAATTCACCAATTTAGAGACAGTTTAGAAATTCAACGCAATTGGACTGAAAAAGTTCAATTTTCGAATTCAGAAATGTTCACTGATTCAAAATCGCATTGCCATTGAGAAATTTTGGCGAAATATGATCAATAAGCTCGAATGAATCAAGCCACTCAGGCAAACTTTATAAAAGGAAGGAACGGAAACACTTCGGTTTCAGATAAATATTGCAACTGAAAGGCTCAACATTAACGCACCTCAATCGCTTTCGTATAATAGTATTCAGCATTGGCATAATCACCGGATTTGAACGAACTCTCTGCGTCGCGAATGAAATCCTTTACTTGCTTGACCGTTTCCACTTTGTGTTGAACCTCGTGGTTGCTTGGATCTGCTTTCAACTGAAAAATTTTTAAATGTTCAATAATTTGAAAAAGAGTGGTACTGCCCCGAAGATCAACTAGCACAACCTCGTAAAAACCATCAGAAGAAGTTGGAAATGATTGAGGTATGTTTGTGGGAATAGTGCCCGTATCAAGTCACACATCTCGCGACAGTTCAATATCTTAAGGGATAAACTCTATCGAATCATTTTCAAGACACGGAATGAATGGAACAAAATTCACTTACTGCAGCCTTGTAATCCTCTTCAGCTTTATTCAACTGTCCTTGTTTCANGCTCACACAAGAAGTTTTACTATTCAAATATGTTTAATTGCGTAACATTCGAATGGGAGCAGATATCACAGTTCTAAGTTATCAAAACTAAGAGGTTACCAATGCGAAATGCAGCAATGAAAAACTCACAGCTGTAAAGTCGGGTTTTAATTCGATGACTTGATCTAAATCAGTCACTGCTGATTTAGATCGACCCATTGCAAGCAAAACTGTTGCTCGTCTATATAATGTTTGATAGTTGGTGGGATCCAATTCTGTAAAATTGGAAGCGATTAAACACTGAAATAAATCGACGCAGTGATCAGTTGTTTTACGAGAAAAGACATTGAATAAATTTAATCATTTCATCACTCCAAAATCAAAATTGAACTGAAATAGTTTGAAACGAACCGATTGCAGCGTGGTAATGTGTGAGTGCATCCGCAAACTGACCCTTCGAAAGGAACTCTTTACCCATATCCAAATGTCTTTCGATCTCACTCTGACTGCATTTGATCGCTGAAACTTCTCTAATTTATCAACAACATCTCTACTTGCTGCTTATTCCCAATCAGTAGTGATTTCTTCAGAGTTCAACAATTCTGATAAAAAAAGAACTCCCCAAAACGACCAACCAGGAAAAACACACACGAAGAAGATCCACAACAATTCGGCAGGCCAATTCATCAGATCAGACCTTAACTGCTGCGTACGCCAATCATTCGGCCGTAAACCCAACATTTTTGAGGTCTAAAATTTTATCTCTAAAATAGTACAAAACAAAACAATAGAAACATTTTCTCAACGCTTCAAAAATATTGTCATATCAAAAATCTCCATCGAAACCGAAGCAATAAACACCACCGCAATCAATTCACCATCAATAACCACAAAAATGATCCATGACTTTTTCGCTGTCATGATAGCCTTCCTGTAATCCCTCTTGTTTGCTTGATCTTTCACATTTAAAAAAAA